CATCTGTGCATGTGTGTACGGGATCTGGGTATCTTCTATGCATGACCCAGACCCCACCATCTCATGATTGTATGTGTGTGGAGTGATGCCATGTAGGTCAGTCTATGTGAGTCAGTCTATGTGAGTCAGTTCGTTATAAGCCTTCCACTGCATAAAAACTCATCCTATATTGGTTGATTCTTGGTTCTGCCCATACTCATTGGAGTATGTAACACCTCCCCTCCCCCCCCTTTCTGTGTGTGTGTGTGTGTGTGTGTGTGTGTGTGTGTGTGTGTGTGTGTCTCCTAGGGGGTAGTTCAGCCATCACGGGAAGAATTTTGCCACACCTGCACGCCGCATATAGTGGGGAAATGTGGCCAAATTCATTCCAGCAGTGGTCATTCTCTAGTGAAATTTGGCACATTTCTATGCTTCATTCGCGCGCAGATACGGCAAGATTCTTCCCTGTTAGTGGTGTTTGATTTATCGGCACTGCTAACACTGCAGGGGGTGTATGTTCACCAAAAAAAAAAAATAATAATAAAAAAAATGGCGCACTACTACTACTCCAAAAAAAAAAAGAAAAAAGAAAAAAGAAAAAAAAGATATGGTGCACTATTCTTTCACCTTTTACTACCCTGGGCTGAGTACACTGAGCTGCATACAAACAATTTTTGACGGCCGTTTCCGAAGCCGACTAGAGTACTGCGTTCACCAACGGCTACCTTCTTCCCCCGAATACAACCTATGGTCTTTATATCTGTATGTGACGCATCTTTCAGTCTAGATACAGCTATAATGACGGCACGTTGTATAGGGACCGCCGAGACAGCCCCCGCCTGGTTTTCGCTCTCTGAGATGGAGGTCTCCACTCATCATCCAGCGGCCAAGTGCCACTTACCGGAATCTCCAATTTCTGACCATAGATTACGAAGATCGAACGGCCAGAAATGAAGAATCAACGTAAGTGCGACTTGGTCCCAGGCTGACCAATCTGTATACGTAGATACAGAATGTAGAGGGAAAGTGTTCGACCTGCAGAACAGATGATGTTCAAACCCATATCGTTGATTCTAACAAAGAAGGGCTGAAAAAAGAAAAGGGATAATCCCGACAATGACCTGCAGACGGGTTTTGTTTGATCCTCTTGCGTACTGTCGGGACACCCCAAAGGCAATGTTTGATGACGGCCCTTTGTTCCGTCGAAGAAGGGCTAAAAAAAGAAAAGGGATAATCGGTAGAAAGCGTCCATGCCAAAACCTTTTCGGTTTTGGGCCCCCGAAAGTCGGCCGTTTGGTCCTACCGGCCCAATGACTTGCATGTGGTGTACTACAGGCCCACGTGTCGCTCTAAGGGCAGGCCACGGTGGTACCGCTGAAGTATCGAACGAGGCCACGTACGAGATTTTGGAAAAAAAGTGCCCTACCGGTTCATGAATATGGCGCAAGAACAGCGCCAAATTCTTGAACCGGTAAGATTCAACAGGGCTGGTAGTACCAAACGGCCAAGTTTTGGGCGCCCAAAACCGGAAAGGTTTTGGCGTGGGCTCTTTCTACCAATTATCCCAAAGAAAACGTCCGGATTTATTCAACAACAGGCAGTTTGAAGAAATTCAACGAAACGAAGGACCAACGGGCGTAGCTCAGTTGGTACACAAATGA